TGAATATTTTATCAGGATGTTCAACTTTATAAGAAGAAAAAATCCAACTTATAAGCTCAAAATAAAAAAAAATAAAAAAAAACCAAATAAATTAATCCAAAGCCTGACTTATTTTATTTTTTAATTGGATATAGACTTGAGTTTCTTGAATTTGAAAATTAAAAATCCAAACTGAAATTTTCATATGCAATCCAAATAGCCCAAATAGCGCACCTTTATAATAGTGACTAGTTCTGAATACGTGTGTTACACGTCTGTTCCATGTAAATATTGTAGATTAATTTAAAAAAAAAATATTGAACGATATATTGTTGTTAGTAGATGATAAATGTAATTTTCAATTGAATAAAATTAATTTTGACATGCACCCAAGCAAACCATTGCTTATACATAATTGTCTTTTATCTGAAAGTATTTTATCAAATGTGTCATTACTATAAATTTATTGCACAAATAGAAAACATAATACTCCCTTTCAACTCTTGTTGAAGTAGAGCTGTGATACATATTTCTTTGTTTACCAAATTTATAATTTAACAAAGACAACCATCATAGTTTTACGGTTTCAAGTATATATGCTTAAAAGGTTTGTATTTGACTTAAATTAAGAGGAAAGATAAAATAGAAGGAATTATTTTTATTTTTGCAAAATTGTTTAAGCACACATTAGCGAAACAACTAATAGAAACTAAGAGTTTGATTGGACTGACTTTTGACTTTTGATCTTTGACTTATAACTTTATGAGTTAGAAATCTTAACTTATGACGTTTGATTTATTTTTATCATTTTGTTGTAAAATTAAGTGCTTATAAATATTATTTTTTTATCCAAACACTAAAAATAGTTAAAATATTTAAAATAAGTCAATTCAAACCAACTCTAAGTTGCAGGAGGCAGTTTATATTCCTGCTCATCAAGATTGAATATTTCTAACAACTTATTTCATATTTGGCCAAAAAAAATTAAAAATGGATTAAAGATAGGGTCACTCAGAAGCTATGAAATAAGCCTCACGAGAAACTTCTTAACATCACTAATCTGATCATTAAAACAACCACATTAATAATGCGCAAAAAAAAAAAACACATGCATTTGTCGATGATAGACAAATCTATCTATATATAATAGGAGAAGTGAAAATGATATGTGTTAGCGCCATAATTATTCTTACAATATCATTTTAAAAAATAACTTAAGTAAATATTTTTAATGGATGAAATTTTATTTAAAAATGACACATGTCAACAATTAATTAATTTTTAATTTTTAAATTATATTAAATTTTGTTTTAAATTTTAATACTTTTATATATTTAATCTGTGTCATCACCATGGATATCAATTATTACAATTTAATCTTAAATAAGAATTTTATCAAAAAGAAAAAACTAAAATCACAATTCTACACAACCTAAACAAATTATAATCAAATGTGGAAAAAAAAACAGTTACATATCTGTCAAATTTATGTGAACGACTTAAGTTAATGCAACCTCTTAAAGTTGTCTGCATATTTTACTTGAACACTTTATTTTAGGTTTGTTCCAATTGAACACCTTTATTAGTAAAAAAAAATATCCATCAAATATTTTTTTACAATAAACAAAAATTAAAGATTGTGTGTCATACACTCACTGACGTGACATAATAACTAATGAAAAAATGACACGTGGCATTGGCGGGGGGGGGGGGGTGGTGCATAGTAACTATTAGTAAAAATAAATTAGGAAATACTCTAAAAGCTATATTTTCAGCCGCAAAAAAAGAGAACCTTTCTTCCGCTTCTCTTCTTTGCAGAGGCCCAGAACACCCCACCCACCGGCCACCCTCGACGTCCATTCTTTCCCTTTTTTTTCTACCAGAACAGACACAATTATTGTCGGTTAAAATCACGTGCACTCCGATAATAATCCTCGCCCCACCTTTTGAATTCTTTAACGATTTCAAAGAAAATAATTTCAAAATAGTATTAGTTTTGTTGAGAAAAATGGAGTTTCACCGGAATTATTTTAACTCAATTTGATTTTTATTTTTGATGAAATTCTCTTCCACAACTCAAATGAAAATCTTTATCAATAAATTCTTTTGATTTTTTTGTGTTTGACTGATTATTTATTTAATTGATGCTTTTCCGATGAAGATAACAACGATGATATTGATGATGGCTGAATGGTGCTTGAAAGAAAGAATGATGGATTATTTGAGAAAGGGGTGTGTCGGAAAAGAATGCATATGGCGGACGAGGGTTCTAGGTAATACTTAGGGTTGTTCATGGTTATGGTTAAAAAACCAAATCGAACCGTAATCCAAACCAAACCGATTATAAAAACCAATATTTGGTTGGATTTGGTTTTAAATTTTGAAAACCGATATTATTTGGTTTGATTTTACTAAAAAAAATGCAAAATAACCAAACTGAACCGATAAATTAGATATATAAATTTTATAATTATTTATATATTATTCAGAAATAATTAAAATATAAATATTTTGTTAAATTTCGATTAACTTAAGTCTTTAACTTAATAAAACACTTTAGCCCAACTATAATAATCCTAAGTCCAAGTCCATCAAAATCAATTTTAGTCTTTACCTACCCTACTTCACATAAAATAGTCACATTTTCTCTTAATTGAAACACTTTGTTCGTGTAATGATAACTCTAGTATTGCTCAATTGAACCGACAATAGTTTTTTTGTGGATTGTTCATGTGCTAGGTGTTGTGTCTATCGACGTAAGTCCTCAAAAAAAATTACTATTACTTTCAAACCGAATAAATCAGAAAACTGAACCAAACCGGCAATAACCAAAACGACAGTTATTTTTTTCGTTTGGTTTGGTTTGGTTTTAGAAATTTAAAAAACCGACTAGATTGGTTTGATTTTGATTTTAATCAATAACCGATCCAAACCAAACCACGAACACCCCTATTAATACTATTGAATTGAGAAGTCCCATTGGGAAAGATGAATTGGGAAGAACTGCCAGCAATTTTTTCTTTAAAAAAATTATGTTCATGTTATGATTTTTCTTATGTTGACATGTTTATTTTTTATTGGTCCATAAAAAGTTTTTTTTGGCTTCACGCGCCACTTAAATGTGTATTACACTTATAATGCCATGTCATCCAAAAGTATTAAATAGGTACATGTATTAAAGGGTAGAGGTGTTCAATAGGTATAATTCCTAGTTGATGTGTCTAGGTGAATTATGCGAACAATTTTAAGGGGCCGCAGATGACTTAGGCCTTATGTGAACCATGCATATTGATTATTACAATTTAAATTTAAATAATATTTTTTCAATTTTTTTTAAAACCATTAAATACTATGTATTTGTGTTTTGCCATCCAAAAAACATGTGCCATCACTAAAAATGTTCTAAAAAAGCAGTCAAGTCAAGTGGTAGTTTATAATGAGACACCTGACATGTTAGAATAACATTTCAAACTAAAAGTTACTGAATAGTTAGTTTAGGAATAAATTTCAATTTGAAAAAAAAAAAATGTCAATTGAAAACTTCCTCTCATTTATTTACATCATAAAAATGTTAGTGCATTTTAAAGGAAACCGCTCTTCTTCTCATCATATAACACACAAATTTCTTCAATTAATTATTGAAAGATGGTTTTTCTTATCCGGAAACTCCTTTATAAAAATGGGTTTTCCACAAACATTCAAATATGATAATATTTGACATGAATTTATGATTTCAAAGACCCAGTTTATGAAGTATATTTTGTGTTATTGACTATTTTTATCCATGTAGTTGGTATATATACCAGGAAAAAAAGGAAAAGTCTTGCGGTATAGTTACTTTTTTAAGTAATTATTGCAAACATATAGTTTTTGTTGATTCTTTTTCCTTTCTTTTTAAAAAAAAAAATTTTTTAATGAACTTAAGTTTCTTTTTCTGGCAGGGTGATTGGTGTGTGAATTCGCTGAATTTGAATTTTTATGTTTATTTTTTATTTTGATATATTGTTAAAGTTATTATCTACACATATTTAATGTGTATCATTTATTTAATTTATAATATTATTTAATGATAAATTTAATTTTGAAATTGTCAAAAAATCAATATTTATGATTATATTTATTAACTAACCGCGCTATGCGCGAACACGTATACTAGTTAATAACATAAAAAAGACTCAAGTCAAAGTTGTTGTAAACAGAATATATACTTAGTATATCAAATAATATACATACTTGTGGAAAATGTATTTGAGGCACTAAGAAAACAAAGAATAATGGGACAAAGACACCTAATTGTAGACCTAGTAGGGTAGAGAATGTTAAAAAGTAATGGCGAAAAGTTAATGAACAAAAGATGAAAGATAAAAATAATTAAAGAATTTATAATGTCATAACTAAAGACTATAAGTAGGGGAAGAATATAACTATATAAGAAGTTGTGAATAACTTTGCAAAGAAATTTAAAATGTCATAATAAAAAATTAAGAATATATAAGGGAAAAGAACCCAAATATAGGAAGGGAAAAAACAAGTGAAAATTTCTAATATGACATATATTATACTAATATTTTCGAGTTATAGCAGTAGATTTAGACTTTTAAGTTCTAACATTAAAAATTTCAGGTTGTAACATATTATTAAAAAAAAATTTATTTTTAAATAATTAAAAACATTTGATTTGAAAAGAATAAAAAGATAAAAAGAAATTAAAATAAAACGTTTCTGAAGGAAAAAATGAAAAAAACGGAAATAGGGATGACTTTTAAATTTGAATTAAATTAAGATAATTATTAATTAGCATGAATTAAGGAATTTCAAACTAATTAAGAATATTCAGTTTCCTTAATTCACTCCAATTTGTTAAAATTAATTTAAAAATCAGATTTTATCCATTTTTCTTTTATGTTTCTCTCTCTTCGTTTTTCTTCCAGAAATTGTCACTGGCGACAAATTGATTTTTTTTTTTGTTGAAAAAACGTGTTTTTTTGTGATGGACAAATACGTATCAATATTAATTAAACATGGCGGAAGATGGATTGCTTCAGGTGAATATTTTTAATTGTTTACTATTTTTATTTGGATTTCAATGAAATAGAAAAAAAAATGAAACTGTAAATCGCCACTATATTGAATGTGATATTTTTTTTTGTATAAACAATACGATTTGTTCATAATACTTATTAGTTGTTGTGAAATTGTAATATTAGTGATTTTCTTGGTAAGTTTCTGTTTTTTGGTAGTGGTTTAGTGACATCATATTATTGATAAATGGTTTTTTTCTTGGTAAGTTTCTGTAATATTATTGATTACTGGATTTTTTCGGGAAAAAATAAATTAGAATGTATAGTTTTGAATGAATTTGTTATTGTAATTATAATTAATTTGGTACGAAAGTGTATTCAGTAGTGTGAAAAAAAGGTTATTTAGAATTTTGAAGAATTATATGACAGTTGTTTTAAGTTAATATGAAAGTGTGTTAAATAGTTAGTAAAAAAAGTTATTTTGAAGTTTGAATAAGTGTATTAAAAATGTGAAATGTTATTATTTATATAAGTTTTGTCAATTATGTATAAATTTGTGCGAAAGGAATGAACTATTTGTTATGAGAAATGTATAAATTTGGTGTAAATGATGATTGGATGTATGAATTTTGTATTAAGTAGGTATGAAATCTGTTTTATTTTTTTAAATGAAATATGTTTGTAGTTTACTGTCTGAATGATTCTTGTATGAAAAAATAATGACAAGTGTGTATAATTTTATTTTTTTTGTATTATGTAAGACTAATTGTTAGTTTTTTTTAATGAAACAGGGAAACATGTTGATTTTCAGATGGAGGGGATTATATATGAGTATTCTAGTCTTTATAGTGGTCTAGTAAGTGCGATAACATCGCAGCTAATGATAGATGCTAATATTCACAATATAGAGATAAAATATATAGTTAGTGATAGATGTCCCCCTGTTAGTATCCACAATGATGTAGGTGTGCAAGTTTTTTTAGATCAAAAGAAAGCTAATGTAGATTTCTTTACGAAATATCCATTGTGCATAACTTTGAAGAATATAGCAATAGATAATCAGGATTCTGTAGTTATTGTGGATAGGAGACATTCTGATGTTAGTAGAACACTAACTAACTTTGATTTATACTCCAGCAACTCCATCCGCTTGATAGGAGTGAATTTAGATGGAGTTGTCGATGAAAATACTGATGAAGGAAATGGAGTAATCAGTGACCTTTCTAATTTATTTATAGCTGAAAATCAGATTTACAATGATAAAGAAACATCTATGGAGGTTATGCGACATTATGGAGTTGTGGAAAAATTCAGATTTCTTGTGACTCGTTCTAGTTCATCTTGGTAAGGATTTTATTTATTGTTTGAATGTGTATTTATTTTGTAGTGTATTTGGTATATTAGTTTTTGATGGATTTTTTTTGTTTTTTAAACAGTTATTACCTGAAGTGTCCTGCTGATAATTGTTCCTGGATGATGAACTCATCATGTTTGAATCAATCAAAGCTATTTAAAATTAGAAAGTACTGTGCGGAACACACTTGTTCCATTAGAGATAGAGTGTATGCAAGGCGTCAGGGAATAACTGACGTTGTAGCTGTTTTAATAATGGATAAATTTATTGATCCATCGACTGTATACACTCCAAAAGATATATCGGAAGACGTTTTGAAAGTGCATGATGTTGCGCTAACATACATGCAGGCCTGGAGAGCTAAAGAAAATGCGATAAAATTGGTGCGTGGAGATCCAGCCGAATCATATGCCAAACTTCCAGGTTTTTTTTAGAACTAAATTTTGTATTTTATATTACTGACTGAATTGGTGTGAATTTTAATAATGCAACAATCTGGCATGCAGTTTGTTTACATATTGAATTCCCAATATCCATTTGGCTTCCTTTCTGTATCCAATTAATATCCATTCTGTATATAATTTGAATATAATTGGTGTCCATGTTTTATCCAGCTAGTATATTTGTTGTGTTGTAATGTTCAACTATCTAATTATAAAATTAATTGTAAAAATTGTAAAAATTCCAGGTTATCTATACATATTGGAGCAGACATATCTTGGTTCGATTTTAAAATTAGAAAGGACAGAATGTGATAAATTCTTATATGCATTTGTTGCATTAGAAGCATGTATTAGAGGTTGGGAGTATTGTAGGCCAATTGTAGTTGTTGATGGGGCAGCTTTGAGAGGCTCATATGGTGGTACAATGTTGTCTGCAAGCACTATAGATCTAGGAGGTATTTTTTTAATCTTTTACATTTATAATCAACAATAAATTTGTATGATATTTTATTTTAATTAATGCATCAGATCACATACTTCCACTTGCTTATGCCATAGTGGATTCTAAGAATGATGCATCATGGACTTGGTTCTTTGAACAATTTAGGGAAGCATATGGAGAAAGGGAAAACATGTGTTTTATGTCAGATAGAAACGAGAGCATATGGAAAGGGACTGCCAGAGTATATCTTGGATTGGAACATTTTGCTTGCATATGACACTTATGCTGTAATGTTTTGAAGAACTTCCATAGGAATACTGAAGATTTGAAGAAGCTATTTTTTACAATGGCAAAGGCTTATACAATACAACAATTTGAGGCGATTATGCAAAGAATAGACCAGATAGATCCAAGAATAAGAGATTATTTATATGATATTGGGTATAGCAAGTGGTCAAGGGTGTATTCAAAATGTAAGCAAACATGGACCATGACTTCAAACATAGCCGAATCTTTGCATAATGTTAACAGGATAGCAAGGAGGTTGCTAGTGATTTCACTTCTTGAATTTATGAGGGTAACAATTCAAAGATGGATTCATAAGCACAACGAGGAGGCTGCAAAAACTAGATCAGAGCTTACAAAAAAATATGATCTTATGCTCCAGAAAAGTATTGCTTTGTCTAGCAGTATGAGGGTATGATTTTCCCTTTATTCATTATTATTTAAATGTATTCATGTATTCAATTAGTATGATTATTTAATTAATTTAGTATAAATTGCCAAGTAGAATAAACAATACCTTTTTTTTGTGACTTGTTTTTTTGTAACAGTATTTTAATGATCAATATTTTTGTGTGTTAGGTAATACCATCAACAGTTGATATGCATGCTGTTGTTGATGGACCAAAGCAGTACATAGTAAACTTAAACACTAAGATGTGTAGTTGCGGAAGATTTCAAAATGATGAGATACCGTGCGGGCATGGAGTAACAGTTCTTAGATACAGAAGACTGCATGAAACATATTATTGCTCTCCTTTTTATAGCCTGAAGAATTTTCAAGATACATATGCCATCCCTGTTGAACCTCTCCCATGCGAGAGTACATGGGGTATACCAAGTTATGTTTCAGAGCCTAAATTGATGCCGCTTGGTCCAAAGAGAGCAGCAGAAAGACCGCAACTTGAACGCTGGAAAGGGTTTGCTGATGTAAAATTCAAAAGGTCTAAAGTTACTTGCAGTAGATGTCGTCAAGTTGGCCACAACAGGACGACATGTTCAAATTTGTGCAAAAAAAATGATTATTTATTTGGTTAGACTATATAAAATTTTAATTTTGTTTTGTCTTTTAGACTCATGTTTTGTTTTGATATGAAACATAATTGGTGTGAAATGCATTATAACTAAGTGTTTAATATACTGTTCATCTTTTATACGCGATGCATTCATTAATTATACAAATTGCATACTGTTGAAAATAAAATTTATTTCAGTTTAATATATAAGATAGTGTTAATATTAGTGATAATTATACAAGGTAATTATGAAATGCATTTGGTATCCTGAGTAATTAATGTAGTTTATCATGAATATTAATTTGGTTTCCAACTTGTGTCCTACTATAAATGAAATTAAAACAATTTTTATACCAATCTTATTCAGGTGTCATTCAAATACTAACTTCAGTTTATATCAAATCTTTATACCAATTCATACAATACCCAACAATCAAAACATTAAAGTCAGAGGCATACATGTATTAATCAGATTTCATACACATTCCATCCAAAAATATGTTTAGAATATAAAGTAAGCATAATGTGATATTTTTAGAAAAAAATTGCTAGTTTGACGATTAATCCAATTTCATACACTTTTGACAATTAATAGACAAATCGCTATTTTCATATAAATTTAATAATTCATATCATATACACAATTAATAGACAGTCACACCAATGTTAAAACACAATTCATACCATTATATCACAATAAATACAATACCTAACATTCAAACATTAAAATTGGATACTAATTATAAGACAAAGTTGGTTCATGATCTCTAAATTGGTATTATTTTTTAATCTAGTTAGTAATACACATTAATATCATTAAGTCTAAATGTTGAATCAAATTGGTCTGCAATTTGTATAAAACTGGCATCCCGGAAAATGGTATATTCAATGTGTAATATATACCCCAAATAGTGAATCCAACTGGTATGAAGTCTGTATATAACTGACTTCCCGATAAATGGTAATTCTTTTGTAGATGATATTTGACTGGAATTAAACATATGATATTATATATCATCAAATACTTTAACACAAAAAAATGTCCAAAAGTTTTAAAAAATAAAATGTTGTTCTAAAAAAGTAGAAGGTGCAATAGACTATATCTAATTTCTTGTCCGTTGTCTTGGTGTAGGATAGTTGGTGGTATCCGGAACATGTTCTTTTGCTATGCGAGGTCCACCAAATTTGCTAGCAACCGTACCAATAACTTCACTCTCACTGATCGCACCATCCTCATTCTTTGTTTTTCCATAATGCCAAAGGATTGTGGCATACCTTTGACGGTGGTACTTTGCATCGATATCAATAGAACGCATATCAAAAACATCATTACTGATGTATTCAACAAATAGACATGTGTACAAACCACAATCACTGAAAAAATAAAACAAATAAGAAATAACTTTTTTTTTTAAGAAATAAATTAATTTAACTTTTCTAATGAAATCAGTAAAGTATAGAAATACGTACTTTGAAATATCTTCTTGTTGAGGAGCATGCATCATATGCTTGATATCAAGTGGGTCGGATTGAGACTTGTGTACATATTTAGGGAGTTTATTTGCATACAAATCAAGCCTTTTACCATAAAATCCAGTGCTCGTCAAAAATAGTGGTATCATTGTTGCAAGTTTACCAACTGCTTCATTTACTTTCTTGGTGTGAACAAATCCTCCCTTCATCGAGTCGTATACATGTAGACATCTAAGCTTGATTCTGAATACAACCAAAAACCAATGAATTTTTTCACTAATATTGACAGGAATAATGACATTGTCAACACTGTCCCAAGGAATGTTGACAAGCAGTTTGAAGCCTCTAATGCACTGTCCAACATCACGGTTGGGAGAAATGGATCTCATGTCGCAATTTGACTCTCTCCATTGTTTCTCAATGTTATCAACCCACGTCATAAACCAACAGTCAACCGTACTGTATGATAGTGGTATGGGAGAGTACTTTGCCTTCTTTCGCAGATAATACATAATGGTATTAACATGCTGTTAACATTTAAAAATCCATTAAAAAATGTTTCAAATATATACAGAATGCATATAAATTTCATTCTACCATCATGTTTAGTGCATTGTTCATGAAAGTTTATTTTTAGTACTGCCTTGTGCAATATTTATAAAAAAATTCACATCAATTTTATTCAAACATCGTACCAGCTTCATTTGCACTGTTGCATTCATCAAACTATTTTCATAAATTTATCGAAATACGCTAACAATAATTTAACAATTTTAATACATTAATGGATAAATTGAATAATAAACCTTCTTAATAGGAAAAATCCCAATTTCATATTAATATTATTCTAAATTTATACAAAACAGAGTAATTAAATAATTCATACCATATACAAAATTAATAGACAATCCCACCAATGTTAACACACAATTCATACCATTCGCATACCAATATTGTATCAAAGAACATACAAAATCCAACAATCAAACATTAACCTCATATCCATACACATTTTATTCATATTTCGAACTATTTTCACACATACAAATGTTTCAAAAAAAACAATAAGCATAATGTGATATAAAAAATCACTATTTTGGCTAATGTGGAAATAAATTAAATAAAGTACTTACCCTAACAAATTTTTTGTGTTTTTTGGATGTTGGTATTTCTGATTCCTTCTTTTTTGTTGTACTTCTTGTTGATGGTTTTGAAGATTGAGCAACTTCTACATTTGTTGTTTTTTTTCTTTTTTTTCTTTTTTGTTTCACTAACAAAATCAGAATCATATTCAGAAGGGGTTTCACCAATTTTCCCCTTCCTCTTCTTCCCCTTTTGATTTGCCGAAATTGGCCTTTTCTTTGCTTCATTTTTTTTCTCTTTTTTATCTTTCAACCGAGATGAACCACACGTCGCCGGAATTTCAGCCCTTTTAGGCAGGGGGGGGGGGTTTGAGTTAATATATTTAAAGTTGGAGCATGAGCTTCATGAATATAAGTTCCTTCAACAGATCTGGCACTCTTTCGAGGAGTTTCAGTGTGTTTCTTAGACATGTTGATGATGAGAAACGTAACGAGAGTGACGATTGTGAAGTTAGGGTATTGTGGTTGTGAGAAAGATTGGATGGACGGTTGTGAATGTGATGGTGGAGTGGTGAGGAAGATGTGAGTGAAAATTGTGAATATGGGGTAGTGGGATGGTGGCGTGTAGAAAATGATAGGCGTGGGTGGGCGGGAATTGTGATTGGTGTATGAGGTATTTGGAGTGTAACGGTAAAAAAGAAGTCTAATCAATGTAAATCCCTAAATTCGTGTAACTGATAATTTCGATTTTAAAAAAGGAACTGCAATTATATTAGCTAGCTATTAATAATTAATAATATAAAAATATAAAGAGATTAATCATTTTTAAATAAACCTGCAATTAATTTTTAAATAAAGTTAAATTTAAGTAATATGTTATAAGCCGTAAATAAACTCTTATAAGGAAGAGTTTTTTAAGAATGTGTTTAAAACTTGTAATATTGTTCCTTAAATGTGTATATGGCGTGATTTTTCCAAAAAACAACCAATTAGCAAAATGAAATGTAATGTTAATTTGTAAGATTTTTTGGGATCTCACATTCTTCGGACATTATAAGAGCATCTCTAACCTTACCCTTATTTTACTCTCCAAATATAATGTTTTCAATTTTTCCAAACAACCAACTCCAACCTAATTCTCTATTTTTCTCTCTAAAAAAGAATCATTTTCTCTCTCCTCAATATGATATTATTATTTCTATTTCATTCTTATTTTCTTATTTCATAATATAATTTTTTTTCTTCAAATAACCACTTTATATCATTTTCATGTAATATAAAAATTTGTTTTTTTTTAAATTTTTTTCTTTAGTAAAAAATAACATTTTATTCTAAATTTCTAAATAACATAAATTGCAAGCAAATATTATATAATATACAAATTAATGAACTTAAATTGGAAGAAAAATTGTTGTGATAAAATTTTATGTTATGTATTATATTATTATCTTGTATTTAAATTATTATGTTATGTATTGTATTTTTAAATTAAATTTTCTATCTTATCATTTTAATTTTGTGCATTCTTCATAGTGAAAATTAATAATAATATCAATTTATATTAAAGTGACAAAAATTAAAAAAAGTTGAATATTATTAATTCGAAATGAAAATAGTATATATTAAGTAACATTTTAAAAAATGTTATATTACATTTAAAAAGAATTGCGTATATTAAAGATTTAATTAATGACCTTATATGAAAAATAATATGTTAATTATAAAATAATAGAAATAATAATAAAATAATCAAAAAGTAAAATAGAGAGTGAATTAACCAAATTTGGAGAGAGTGAATTAAAGTGTGGTTGGAGAGCCCATTCTCGATTTTGCTCTCCAAATATAGAGATGGAGAGTAAAATAGAGGTGCGTCAAAGATGGTCTAACTACATTTTTATTATCAATGCAAATCTATGTGTAGAGTTGTAACTGATGAGGGGATAGAAAAAGGTGGATTAGTAATAAATTGTGATAGCTTTTATTCAATTAGTGTCAAGATCATGTTACATGGGCTTGTCTGACTTGATTATTGATACAAAGCTTTAGTTAGTAGATTATGAATAAAAATGTCACGATCCAAAAATTGAGGTCATGATGGTCCATACCCCGAGAAATTAATTTGGTATGTAAGTCGAATGAAATAACACATATGAGACTTCCAAAGGGAAGTCAGGCCACAACTGAAGAGAAATGAAAAATAACAAAGAAGTTTCCAAAATCTGGTATCATAAGCATAAAGAGCATCTAAGATATTTCTAGAATTTGGAATCCATCTCAAGTCTTCGAAAAGAAATTAAAGATTGTAAATGATAGATGGAGATCAATGGCGATCCAGAAAGCAACATCTCACCACAACTCCGGATGAAAAGAAATAACTAGATTTGATCAACCACTACAAAGATCACCCTAACTAGGATCTGCATCAAGAAAGATAACAGAATTAGGAGTGAGTACAATCCATATGTACTCAATAGGCTAGACCGATTGAATATACGCAACTAATCAGACTTAAGAAATAAACTATGAAACACTTCCACCTGCATATAGAAAAGTCCCATTCCGGCATTGGTACCACCAATTTATATAGTAACACCGCAAATAAGGTAAACACATAAGGATACAGATAATACTTATATCGACAGACAAGCAAGTTACACAAGACAACAAAGCTGACCAATGCAATATAATGAGATGATGAAATGATGTGGTGAAATCAAGGCTGTCGCACAACCTAACCTTGCCGAGCTTTAGCTTCCATACAAGGAACCATGAGGGACTCACATTCCATATCAAATCTCAATATCTCATCAACTTGCCACCTAGCTGGTGGTCAAGGATAAATGTAAGGTGTCTCATTTTCTTTCTCAATTTTTTTTTTGTTTTTCATTTTCTCATATTTTCATGAACAATTATATGTTTAATGAAGATGAATGCATCACAACACATACAACATAAAGTCATAATCAATTAATCAAGGATTAGAATAGCATAGAGTTCTCAAACTCATCAATAAGTCATGAAACCCACCCTCATATGATAGGAATAGCAGATGAATCCATTTGAAATCAACCTTTACTACTTAGAAAGCTTTTTCTTCACTTTAAGATGATAAAATAACAATTCAAGCCCCTAACTCAGGCATCTCAATGTAAAATATTAAAATAGTCCACACATATCCTCACTCGGGAAAATTCTCAAATATTATAGATTTTCAACAACAACAATTAAGGGTATCACACGAGGCCTCCACACAGGCTAAACATCACAAATGTCACGACCCAGGGGTACACCCTAAATGTTACATGGCACATAGAACCCCAAAAGGCTCCATGTAAGCCACTTAACATATCATAACATACACTACTAGAAATTCGTTGTTTGCCGATTACAAAATTAGTCGGAATGTAGTCGCAAAATGGTGTTTGCCGATGACCTTCCGACT